ATTGATATTCATGGGCCAGATTCTTGTTTGTTCTGTGTGCCAAACTTCACCAAACCAAAACAGTGATTTATTTTAGCATCCGTAGATAATAAGATAGCAGCGCTGGCTGAATACAGAAGGCCTGAGAATACAGTACGGCAAATACCTAACACACGCAGCAGCAGAATGGAGAGTTGGCACGCCAAAGCGGACCGAACGCCGAAACACGCGCAAAACAACGATAAAAAAAGCCTAAACGCGCCGTTCGTCTGCGAAGTAAGGGCGTCAAAGTCGATCAAGCACCGAAACACGTGCATAAGGAGCCCCCCCCCCCCTCCCGATATATCGGAGAAGAATAAAAAAAAAAGTGGACCCAGACGCGCTTCTCATCAGCCATACACTTAGTAGCACGCTTCACCGTGTAGTTTCAGGGCAGAATGACAAATCTGCGCCATCTGCGCCCGCACGACAAGTGCGGCGCTAGTGTAGCAAACGATGTAAGTTACAAAGTAATTTTTATTCAGTGTTTATGTTGACTAGCACTAAATAAAAATTACACTCAACTTTTTATATTTATTTATGAGTTTTAGTGTACCTCAGTTTTTTTTATTAATTGTATTAGGAGAACACACTGAAATTATTGCGCTGACGCCTGTGCTGCCACTGCTCGACGTTTTTTTTTTTTTCGGCGCAACTAGGTTCGCGTTCGCACTACTTACTCATTTTCATGTGGTCTGTGGTTGGCGAGCACATGGACGTGCGATCTTGTGAGCTATGTTTTGATCGTGTGTGTGTGTCGCAGATTTGCGTTTCTACTTATTCGTGATGAAGGTTAGTGTATATTTATCTTTATGGAGCACGAAGTAGTTGTGGATTTTGCTGCTGGGTGGAACAAACACATCGTAAACACGTCTTCAGCTATCTGCAAGCCTGTTCGCTCGTCGGACAAAGGACTGTGCATGCATCAGCGTGCAGGTGAGTGGCATTTCCAGCAACATTTAATGCTCTTACAATACATTGTTGAGTGGTTGCGCTATTGAAAGAGAAAAGATTTGCTCTTATTCACCGTATCCGTTGCTAGCCGCATCGGACTAAATTACCTATATTACCGCCTGCATACCCTCTTGCTTCCCCTGTCACCACTGCAGTGCCAGTGTACTTCTGCAGTTAAAAGTTCATTTCCGCAACACTACCTCGCTTGAAAAAACATTGGGGCGGGGTTGTAGCTGCATTCATACTGGCACTTTTCTACCATTGGCTTTATGTAATGTTAACGGCTGAGTGTTGGGGCCTTGGGCCGCATTTTTTAGAGATGTAAAGTGTATGTAAATCAGTAAGTGAACAAATCATTGTCGCATCACTTCACTGGTATAGCCAGGCGGTTGCGCACAGAATTTTTTGAGGCCGGGCGTAGGGAGCCCAAATTGACGACTATATTCGCTTGCCCGGCCTATTCAGATAAGCGGACCCCCCCCCCCTCCCCGCACGCCTAAAAAAAAAATCTGCCCACATCACTGCGTCACTTGCTTCACCTCTGCGCTGAACGTACTATTTTATAAGTGCACCATCAAGCGAGCAGTTTACATATTGACAGAACAATTGGAGGAGGAATGACCCAAATCTTGCAGATTTCTTTAGTGATGCAAAACCTTAGCAAAACTGAATATTGTAAAAGACAATCATAAATACTGTATGTTCTCGTTAGTGCTGTCATTATTCTGCATCATGAAATCTTTATGCGCTGTGAAAACTTGGCATGCCGTTGAAGTCACATATCGACGTTAATACCAATCGACGAAAATTTCGACAACCTCAATAACGCCGTTTGGGATTTGCCGCATGCACATAATTAGGCTGATTCCCACTTGGCTGTTCTTAACCTGACTTCACTGCTACCAAATGAAACAATATTTGATGCATGTCTTTTACTTTTTTTTCAGGGACATGATACAAATTTGGTTATACTGCAGATAAAGATGCTCCCAACGATGCTAAAGTACAGAAAGCAATGAATTTTGGTAAGTGCAGACTTTTTGTACTACGTATATGAAAGCATCGCTTTTTAGGGGCAAACTGTGCATGTGTTGGCCAGAGAATAGTTCATTATGCCACATGGTTACACTGGCACTGACAATTCGACATGGCTCCGCTGGCCCGTGTGTGTGCTCACACTGTTACCGTTAAGATAAAATGTTTATGTTTTCATTGCAGGGATTGCTGTTTGTACTAAAAAGCCAACTGCCAATATTTGTTTACGCTGGTACTCCTAAAAGTATGCTTTCCCTATTTACATGGATTTTGGCTTGCACAAAGCATAACACTTGGGCCTAGATTCATAAAGCTGTCCATGCGCAGGCGTTCATAACAGCGTTTCTTGACTTGCCTTTACCCTGTTTTCTGCAGATGTTTCGTGGGTTTAAAAGTGCCACAGCATGTTGACCTTCCCCACTCTGAAATATTCGCGTTCAAAGTTCCGCAAGAGTGGGCTTAACTTTCTTGTGCACCTCTTTGCTAGTCCAAGATACTGAAGTGTTATGCTCTTACTAGAGGTGGCAGTGTTTCTAATGTTTGTATTTCCATCACATTGACCAAGTATGCGATCTTGGCTTGACTGGTAGCACATCCTCAACAAATGTCTTTGTGGCACATGTAGAAGGCAGTACAAAATAAATAGGCAGACATTCACACCGGGAGCTAACTTCTAATAATGCTTTTTTTTTTGGAAACCATGGTGTGCTTATTCCAATTTGTCTAACAAGCAGTAACCTGTTTGGCTGTGAACCAACAAGACGTTGAACTAATAAAAGCTTCACATCTTGTTGCTCTCAAATATATATGTATTGGCAAGCTATCTGTGACACTGTCAAAGAAAGAATCAGAATATCTGTGCATGCCTTAAGATATATTGCTTCGTTTACATATCTCGTGGCTGTGACTCGTCAACCGAGTGAACAAATGCACCCTAGTTTTCTAAATTTAAAGCATTTTTTGAAGGTTGCACGGTCTACATTTATTTGTCTATAGTTTTGTCCAGCCATTTGCGTCAGGTACAAAGAAATATACTGAAGATTATCATGTAGCCTCTGCAAATGGTTGCTTTCAAGCAGGCTTTGCATGCTTGGCTTGTGCCTACAGGTATTGCACAATTCAAGACGCAGCAGCGTATGATAGAACAGTAGAATCGAGAGCAACTATGTGCACGAGCTAAATAAGTATTTTAACATGAGCGAACAGTACGTGTTATTTGCCACACACATGACCTCATTTAGAATGCCCATTGGTGAATGGGCTCATAGAAATGCCACTCAGCTGTGTATAGGAAACAAGTTAACTGAACCTAAGGGTATCTTTAACTGCTACAAATATGCCTTGTTGAGGTGCTGCACATTTTCTTCCAGAATATTGCTGTCTGAGACATCATGTGAAGGGTGTCTACCACATCAGCATTTATATGGCTTGCCAAGTAACGTTTGGCCGAACGTTCCTTTTTTTCACATTTCGTTTTGCAGTAGACATCCTAGAATGTAAGCGCTGCTGCAGTGTGTGTGACTCATTGTTATGAATTGATTCTGGCATGTTTAACCTCACACTTCTATTTTTTTTCTTGCAGCAATGAGATGCTTCACATATGCCTGCGGTGACGTTCCGCTGCGCTAGCCTGATGGAAACACCAGCTGCGAAACTTGAGTTCTTCAGAATGGGAGAAGTTGCCCTTCTCTCACCAATGATGACACAGACTGCCCTATGCTAGAAATTCAAGATTGTTTTTCCACGGATGACGCAGAAAACCTTTGATGTATTATGGTGTTTGTTTAGTGCTGGCTGTGGTGTGGCGAAGTCTACTTTTACGTGTGGTCACACGTCGCCTCATAAAAAGAAGAATAAAGCATTTATTTTCCTTTCAATATTGTCCACTTTTTGTGTTAGAAGCACCCAAGCAGTGCTCTTCCAAGGAGCTCTCGCCATGTGTTAAGCGTGTTACAAGCATACTCGAGATAAATACTCATTTCCCCAAGGAGTAACTGGAAGCATGTGCAGTTGGTTTTCAGAGAGTAACTGCGAACACGTGGGAGGAACGGTAAAGAGTAACAGTTGCTCTTAGAAGAGCAACTGGTGGGAGTAATGGTTGGTCGGCAGGGAGCAACTGGTGGGAGTAACTGTTGGTCTGCAGGGAGGAACTGGAGGGAGTAACTGCTCATCCCCCGAAGGAGGAACTGAAAGGAGAGCAACGGTTCCTCCCTCTGCAGTTACTCCTTTTAGGAGAGTAATGGGCGTGGCAATGCAATTGCTCCCTGAAAGGAGCAACCCCTATACCCTGTTGCTCCGTTTTGGCTTAGAGTGTACTTCACCTAAAGTGAAACGCACACCTCATCGCCTGTCCTCAATGGTGAAGTCAGAAAAAAAAAATAAACGATGTCACCGTCCTTAGTTTCATTCAGGTGGCTTAGTGACACCAGTACTATCCTTAGCAGAAGAGTTCAGTCAGCAACTAATGTTTCTCACGGTATAGCGTTGTGACCAAAGTATCTTGTATCTTACCCGTTGGGGTTCATCAAAATTTCTCTCGTGATAAACAAAATCATACGAAAGGAATTCCTAAATAGCCGGTTTAGAAATTGTTTTGTGCGTATTTTACCAAATATGACCAATTGTTTACGAGAAAAAATCTACATATGTGTCCCATTGGCCCATGAAGTGTATTTGAGGAAGTGCGACAACAGCTGTCGCACTATCTCAAGAGGGCAGTAAGCTGTAACCCTTTGCTAAAATTTTATAACAAAAGGTCTGATGCCAGTGTTACAGAGGGTCATTTAAAAACTGTGTGAAGGAAAATTTGTGGGGTATGTTATTTCTAGATGTGGTACAAAATCTGCGCCGCTGCCTGTTGTAATTCATCGACAGCTGCTGACATTGTTCAGTAGCACATGCATTGCACTATATTTGTCCTTCCAACCACCACTTGCGCCATCCATTCAGAGTACTCTATATAGGTCTTTAGGTAACATTGAAATACCACGCAGTGTCTTGGAGCAACTGGGTGTCGCGCGATCTCTTGCGCCGACGAGTCCGCGTGCTGTGCTGGGTGCTGACAAACCCGAACAACACGGAAACCAAGGCGCGTCACGTAGCCGCCACGTGGGGTCGCCGCTGCAACCGGCTGATGTTCATGAGCACAAGCCGCAGCCACGAAGACGAATTGCAGCCGTCGGTGGTGCTGAACTTGAGCGTCGCCGAGCGCCGAAATGCCCTGTGGGCAAAGACCAAGGCGTCGCTCGTAGAGTTGTACAACAACCACATCAACGACTACGACTGGTTCTACAAGGCTGATGACGACACATACGTGGTGATCGAGAACCTAAGGTGAGCAAATGACGCTCGTTATTCAGATCCCCAAAAATAGCTCAAACAGGGTGGCTTTGAAGAAACTAAAAGATGCGATGAAATTTCTTGGACACGATGGCCATAGCATAGAGAAAGTTAGGGCACCGATACTCTTAATAATGCGTGTAACGAAGTTGACAGCAAAATGACGCTCTTAATACGCCAGCAGAACCGCAACAAATGTTAGTTATTTTTCAAAATTTTTCACGAAGACGTGCTGACTCAGGTACTTTTGGCAATAATGGAGGCCCTAATGTTCACTGCTGTCTCATCATTTGCCCGTAATGCCGGGACCAAAGTTAGGACAAACACGGCAATGCAACCGCACTGCCCACAGTGCTAAGAAAGCGAATCGTCAGCAAGCCCTCGGTTGCCTTAACTCCGGAAGCACTGGCATATCTTGACTGCGAAATCTGTTGTACACGCCTTCGTCTTCTTTTTCATGCTTTAACCTTCCGTTTTTGCATGTTTTGTGCTTAGTTACATTTGATACATTTTTATTCTCTTTTTTTAGCACTTGTTACACGGCCGTTATTGTGCATCCACGTGATGTCGTATGCCAGCGTTTACGTATGCGAACTCTTCAATAAGTCGTCATTTTGAAGTGAGCCGCTGTCTCAAACCCTTTCATTCTACTCTACTGCACTGTTTTTGGCTGATGGGTTGCCAACTAGCCGAATCTGAAGCCTTACTTCTATCTGCACTACCGTGGACCTCCTGCACCTATCCACGAACACTAATCAAGAACACGTCACCTCAGAGCCAGTGCTGACGTCATAAGGGCGTCTAATTGGTAATGCGATGATGAAGTTGTTAATCGACCTCATGGAACAGTGGAAAACAGGCAGATTCTAGCAGCAGTGCAACTGGTGCTACTGATCGGCGAATGCCGAAGACTGCGGAAAGCCTAAGGGGAGTGGTACGCCTTCAGTGCGTGTTCTATAGAGAAAGTCAAATATACGCGCTGCGTTGGCACTGCCATGCTCGGGAAGTATTGCTTTACTGTTCATTTTCACATGACCACTGAACGAAAATAAGGTGCAACCTGCCAAACGTTTTTCTGTGCTTGTCATACGAAGCATTCTGATAATCCACTTACCTAGGAAGCCAGCCAGCGTGCATTCATTTTATAGCTAGTATGGTCGTCTCACCTTTTCATTATTTCGGCTAATAATGTGCAAGGCACATACGGCAGTTCATTTACCAGTGAGGCATTTTCATCGCAATGCTAATGAGATTTTCTGAAGGCTCTTGCAGACCTTAAACCTAAAAAGAAATGTTTCTAGACAAACAATAAATGTCGCACAGCAGGCTCATCAACGCCTGCGAAACACAATGACAACTAAATGTTGACGTGACTGCGCGAGAGCGTGTGCTATTTAGCGAGCTTTGAAGTGTGTTTTGACTGTGCGGTCATTCTTCATCCTTATTTGATTGTCGTGGCTCTGCCCACTTCAGCAACGTGACACCGCGTCAGCGATTGACGTCATCAGTGAACTAGATCAATCGCAACGCACTTCCGCTTGCTGCGAAGCGTAGCTGTTTTTTTACCGTTTGCCGCACCAGCCGTGGGTCAGCCGCACCAGCCGTGGGTCAGCCGCATAAGCGTCAGGTGGAAGTGTCGACCAGAAACGATCAGGTCCCCGACGTACGTCGCAAGATGGCTGATTCGCTTCAGCCATGCAGCACGCAGGGCCCCATTATGAGGCACCCGGTTCCGATGCTTCTCCGCTGTTCAGTCGCTCGATTTGCAGCCGACGACAGAGCAATGCTTTTTACCCATGTTGCTCATGTCAATAAAGAAATACGTTCATATGTGCGCACAGGCGCTGTAGTTGAGCGAGGAGTGTACATGTGCACGCGACAACTGCGAGGCGGGTTCTTTCACCGCAGTGCCAAGAAAGAAGAGGCAGTTTGGTAGCTGTGGGTGGGAACAGGAACTGACATTGACTTCACTAGTGCTTTTTCACACCTTATTTACACCAATCGGCGAGCTGCGTGCTACGTCACGTCGCCGATCGCCGAGTTGACATCACTGCGCATGCAAGGGGGTCCGTCAGGCGTAGGAAAGATGCGCGGGCATTGTTTTTCGAAATAAAGGCTCTGCGCGGTGCGCAGTGCTGTACTATTCAGAAAATGTAAGCGCTGCGGTTTAAACTACGAACTGCCGGGCTTTTATGGATGGTGTAAAAAATAAAGTTGGAGCTGTTTACTGGCCCTTTAAGGACAGGAAACTACCGTAGGGTCGTAGTAAGGCTTGAGCCAGTCTAGATGCGTAGTCTCATGTCAGAGGCGTCGTTGATCAGGAGACGCCACAAGCGGCTCAACAATATGATTGACTAGTGACAAATGCTGGACTACACGGTAAAAGCTTTGAGAGAAGTTTTGATGACTGAACAGGGTTGGTGAAAGGGATCCTGAGGCACACAAGTGAACCAGAGATATAGGACGCTGGAGCCTTCGAGCTGTCGAGGTGTTTCTGGCGTTGCTGAGCAGAAGTGGTGAGGAATCGAGCAAGCTGGTGACACTCTTCCGCGTACTTAGCTGCTTCGGAAAGGGTGGTCGACTCAGTTTTGTCTGGGCGGTACGAAAGAATTTTGTGAAGCATGCAGAATGGCTCGCGTCCATAAATGAGAAAGAATGGAAGATTCCCGTGGTAGTCTGAGTCACAGTATTGCGTGTGAATGTCACAAAGGTGAGAAGGAGACCCAGTTTGAGTGAGATATATTGATGTAGATTTCAAGCATGCCACCCGGTGTTCGGTTAAATGGTACTGTCAGGCCATTAGCTTGAGGGTGGTATGCAGTAGTGGTGCGGTGAATGATGCAGAATTCCTTTAAAAGTGATTTGGCGGCTTCGGAGAGAAATACACGCCCTCGGTCGCTGAACAGTTCACGTGGTGCGCCATGACATAAAACGAGGTGGTGTAAAATAAAGTAACCAATGTCACTCTCCCACGCAGATGGAAGAGATGAAGTTTCTGCGTAGCACGTCAAATGATTGATTGCGATGTATATATAGCGGTTCCCAGCAGGAGGTATGGCCAACAATCCATAAAGATCAATGCCCACACATTTAAAAGGCCGGGAAGGACAAGGTAGAGGCTGCAAAGGAGTAGGAGAACGAAGAAAGGTATCTTTGCGCTGTTGACAAGCGAGACAAGAATGCAGGTAGCGGTGGAGAAAGCAATATATTTCATGCAAATAGTAGTGGTGGCGCAGGCTTGTGTAAGTTCCCAGTACTCTCGCATGTCCTCAGTGGGAATTACCATAAAATGATGCGTATATAGCTGACCGAAGGTGTCGGGGAATAACAAAGAGCCATCTGCGCTCATCGGAGAGGTATTTCCGACGATACAGCGAACCATCGGATGCGAAATTGATGGATTCGCCTCTGCAGTTGTCGAAGGATTGGGTGGGATAGAGGCCGGCACAATAAATCTATAAAAGAGCCTTCTGTTGCTCCAGAGGCATGTCAGTGACACATAGTGATGACACGTCATAGAACAATGTAGATGGGGAGGAATGGTCAGCTGAAAAAGGTGACCAGGACACAACGCCAGCATCAGAATGTTTATGTCCACACTGGTAAACGACGCCATGTTTGCAGGAATGCCCCTGCAGACATGGCGCTCAGCGGGCAAGTCGGCCGGGGGGATCTTTAAGGAAAGAAAGCTAGCCTAATGTGTGGTGATCTGTGACCACGCTAAATGGGCATCTGTAAAGGTAGAGTCGAAACTTGTAGCGAGTGAGGGTAGAGACGTGAGAAGACTTCAAAGTTGACCGACGTGGCGTGCCAATCCCGCTACTTTATTCGTTAGGGCTGAAGCGGAGTGACGGCGTCTGCCAGCGCCCGTTTAGCTAGGCGCATGTACTGGTTCTGTAGCTCGCTCAGCTCGAGCTAGGCATGAAAGGCTTGCCGGCTAAGAAAAAGAGGATGTTGATGAATGGCGATGATGATGATGCTAAACTTGTCTATAGCCCATATGAATGCTAAGCATTTCAGTCCTTTTCCTTCTCGGTCACGGAGTAGTTGATTTCGGCTTTGGTGAGCACTTGGCTGGCATAAAAGATGACGTACTCATGAAATCCAGGTTTCCGCTTTGCAAGCACAGCGCTGAGACCAACACTGCTAGCGTCCGTGTGCATTTCAGTCGGGGCGAGTAGGTCAGAATGTCGCAGTATTAGAGGTGAAGTTAGAAGGCGTCGAAGGTGAATGAATGAATCGTCAAATGATGATTATCACCCCGTGAAGTCAAGCTCACCGCCAAGTAGTTCAGTTAAAGGTGCTATGATGGATGCGAAGTTGCCGATAAAACAGAGAAAGTAATAACAACTTGCAATAAAACTCCGAACTTCTTTTCATGGCGTTGCTTCAGGGAACTCGGCAACCGCACGAAGTTCAGTCGGGGTGGGAGCAAGGAAGTCACGCGAAGAACGGCAAGCAGCTTGGGACTTGCAGGGTGCACCTGGAGAGGACGTGGCCTAAAATAAGAAACTTTCGTTCACCAAGGCAAGACTTCTTCAAATTCAGCTGCACACCAGCAGACTGGAGGTAGTGAGGACTACTTCCAAGCGTTTAAGATGCGTCGAGAGGTCAGGCGTAAGTACTACAGTGTCATCCAGGTAGCGCAGTCATTCCTGCCATTTCAAGCGATGGGGGATGTTATCAATCTTGCGCTCGAACGTGTCAGGCGCATTTTAGAGCATGAACGGCAAAACATTAAATTCATACAAGCCATCGGGACTAACAAAAGCTGTTTTGTGGGTGGTTAGCCCCTGTATAGGACCTGCCAGTAAACATAGCGCAGGTTTAATGAAGGGAAGAACTTGGCTCCTTGGAAGCAGTCGAGGGCATCGCTTATGCGAGGTAACGGGTATACATCTTTGCGTGTTATGTTTTTCAGCCGCCGGTAGTCAGCGCGAAAACGTATTGAGCAGTCTTGATTGTTCGCCAGAACTACCGATGACTTCCAAGGT